TAAAGTAATTACATAACTGTGAATCTAAGTGAAAGCAAACAGCAAGTTGCTCACTTCACTCATTTTATTTTGTAGCACGCTCTGTACTTACAGAGTACACGGAGTACTCGCAAAGTGTGTATCTCCAAGACCATTACTTAATGACCTTTGTGTGTGCTTGGAAAAATATATAAACACATCTGGATTTTTATTGGACACCAAAATGAATTCTTCAGAACCACATTCGCATAGTTTTACTGTTTATTTTAAAAAAGCCTTTTTAACGTAGCAGAGCCTTCCATCTAAAAGCCTCACATGCACAGGGGAAACACACACCGCAACGCTAAACCTGCAGCATCCTAAACAGCCACATGATCTTCCCAGTGTTTATGATGACACAGTTAAAAGTGTTGAATTCAGTCAAGGATCTGAGGTGATACACTAATAAAATATCACAACATGAGGCCCCACACTGTCTGGCTTTCTCTGGTAATGTGATACAGCTCAAACATTGTCTCTTGTGAATCAAGAGCGGCATCGATGTCAGATTAAAAATTTCACACAACTAGGTGTCATGTGAATTTCTGTTATGCTGCTGACAGTACAAGCACTGACACCTAACCGAAAATATTAGAGTTCAAAGATTATTGGAAATGTTTTAAACCAGAGACGATACAAAGCTTCGGTTTCTTCACACCAAAGTACTTTAGATTTGGACAAAAATAGTTTTAACAAAATGTGGAAACACAAGCAGCCAAATACGTAAACTGGCTAAATTCAAAAGTATAAAGATGGCAAATTACAAATAATAAACTTGCTGTTAAAAAAAAGCTTTCAATATCAAAAACACTTAATATTCAGCCTGATGAAAGGCTTGCTGGCAATAATTTCAATAGCAGCTTTGCCAGACCCATAAAAACTGTAATGACATGTTGGACATGTTGCTTCTCTCATCAAAGCAGCAATCACTGTCTGCATGCTGCTTCCCCCATACACAAAACTACCATCTCCTCTGGCACAATAATGTTGACATTGTTTGAAAAAAGGCCACATAGTTATGTTAAGCATGTTGGCAAACACTGTTTGGTGATTGTTATCATATGCAGCTGTTGACACATTAACACTTTCTCACATATCATTGTGCTAGGGATGTTACTAAGGCTAGCACGTTTTGGGGGCTTTACCGCACTCAGAAACACACTGTCCAGAGAGGCAAACTAAGCAAACACCCTTTGGTCTCCTAACAAAAAGAGAAGCTTCTAATTAGGCTCTCCTATTGGCACATTTTGCAGTGATAACTATAAAACTCTCTTAAAGGAGACCTATTAAGCTTTTCCTTAGTTTCTCTCATACAAATGGCTATTAAAGATTCAAAAAAAATGAGATGAGCATATGTGCAAGTAATGCCTGTAAAACACCAAAAGCTCAGGCTTAGTATGACATCTCTTATACGGTCATCACAGTGGTTGAACATTGGAGATGCGCCAATGGCCCCACCATAAGGACATAAATAAGGAATTGTGAATCATTCAAAGCTACTTAGGTAGGGTCAAAGAATGAGAAGTGTAGAGTATAGTATAGAACCGTCGCCTCACTGGGGCTCCGTAGTTAGATTACAGAAGCCCCACATGCAAAGAACAACAGCTGTATTTTTTAATGTGAGAGAATCTCTAACAGAGTATTGTTGAATAATTTATGTATTTATTGCAATCCTTTGTCATTTAAACACTAAGACATGTTTTTTTTGTCTATGGTGTTATTTATTGTTTAATGGGTGGTCAAGTAAACCAATTAATGCAGTGGCAAACTGATTTTTATGAGGGTACGTGGGGGGAGAAGGGTCGTTACGGTGGTCTTCTTTGCCGAGGCTGCACCACAGTGCTGCATCTCCTTTGTAAAATGCTTCCTTTAAAATGTTTTTATATGTAGAAGTATACCATTTCGAGCTAAAATGGCCTCTTGGTATCAAGCCAGTTTGGACTCATAGAGTTATACTTCATCTGAACATAATTAAGGTCTTTCCTTTATTTATTTATTTTTAAATAAGCCTTCTACAGTGCAGCGAATCTTTGAGCAGCACAATAACGTATTGCGCAATATACTTGAAATTTATATTTTTCCCACTGACAAGCAAATGTAAACATATTTGTTTTAGAATGAGCAAATAAAGAAAATATTTGACTTCAACTGCTTTGGTTTTTGATGATTAGATTGCTGACTGTATGCTGGGAAGCCGTGAGAAAGGGGATTTTATGTGAAGGCAACCTTTGTATCGCCTGTTTTTTAAGCAGAGATGTTGAAGATACAAGATTATCTCAGTGATGTCACAAGCAGAAATCTTCTCACATCGCACCACGTTTCTAGCTCAAGTTTAGGTAGGGCTGTCAGGACAGACTGTTTCAAATAGTCAAAATAAAAAGTGCAAGTGTCCATTCAGAGTAACGTGAGGGATGCAGTGACAAGGACACAGCTGCTGATCAGACGACAGTTCTAAAATTTCCACAGACTTTATTTGAGGCAATAACCATTGTTCGGGTAGCATGTTGTTTTACTGGAGAGGAGCAGCAGCTCGCCTACCCTGCATCAGTTTTCTCGATTTTTCCATCAGTCGCCCTGTCTTACGTTATGTTCTGCTGTGGCGACAAAGAGCCTGCAAAAACTAACATTAAGCAACAGCACTTGGTCTGAGTCTCAGCAATAAGCAACATGTCCAGTGTACTGAATACCGATAAAGAAATTGACCTCATACTAAATGAGATCTTAGGAAACGTAAACTATGGCGCAACCTGAGTGCCTCAAACCACAAGATGAAACCATAAAGATCTGTTTTACTGACATTTGCACTGTTTGTTCTGGTTCTTCAGCCTTGTGTCTCCCCTCAAAGTGTTTGTGCACTGACCACAAACTGTCCATCCCTCATTAGCAGCATCTTGTCTTGTGTCTTTGATATCTGATGGATTTGGTTTTAGATGTATCTCGTGCATGTGTGTGTGCATTTGTGTGTCTGTACACAATGTTCCTTCTATTCACAGTTCCCCCGCTGGCAAAGCCTGTCGGTGTTCACCAATCTGAGACCCCCTCACGTACAGCCCAGTTTCAATTTTTAAACCAAAACAAGGTCAAAAACAACAACAACAAGTCAAACAGAACCTATATTTACAATTAGATTAACATATGATTTAAATAGGGTAAAACAAGTAGGTGAATGCAGACATATATTAGCATCATTTCAAGTAAAAGTTGTGTGTTCTATCAATTTGACCCTTTTAGCTTTTGCTTTTTCTTTATGATAAATATCCAACTATATCTAACAATGTAAAGAGGAACATTGCACAAGCAGTGACAGCACAGAGATGATGGCATGTAGACTACATGTACAGCTACTTTGCAGAGGAATACAGGAACAGAGCACATTAAGACAAAGACACACACACTTCAGCCTATCTGTACGTTCTGCCTCATATCCGTAGTCTGCTGATTAATATGTGAACGTGTGAGTACACAATGTGCATGGCAAACAGACATCCTGAACCAAAGCACTGTTTGACATACGGGATTTTTCCCTTTCACCCAACAACCCTTTGCAGAGTTTAAAAAGCGACAGGAGTTGACTTTTTGAAAATGCTGGCAAAAATAGATTTGACGTGAAATTTGACACTGCAAACCTTAAAAATAGATTTTTTTTGTTAAAAGGTAACAGAGAACCCCCCTTTTTTATAAAATAATATATTGTAAATTTCAGTGCTTTTAAAAAACAACAACAACCAGTTTATCTATATTCCGTATCTACCCTGAGGCAGTTTGATTCATCTCTGGGATGTCGCCTCAGCCTCTGTTTTACAAGGCCACCTCTGCTTGAGCCTCAAATCAAACTACCCGTGCGGGGACGCCCGTGTATTTGAAGTTATTCAAGGGGCCACCATCATATCCTGTAATGTTTAAGTGCTCCAAAATAAATGCTCGAGCGCCAGAGTTGCTGGTGTAATTCTCAGAAACAGTTACACAACCTGTAATTTATGTAGGTACACCTAGGCTTCCACGTAGTCTAGATATAAACTGTTATCCTCATCCTTCCCTTCCACAGGGACCCACAGCTAAGTGCCACATTTACACACACACACACACACTTTCACCTATTAACCCCCACCACCCCCCACAAACACGCGCGCGCGCGCACAGTGCCTTATCAGCCTTTATTTTGTGTGTGTGTGTGTGTGTGTGTGTGTGTGTGTGTGTGTGTGTGTGCTTTTAAAAAGCAGTCTTTAAATACAATGAAGGCTAAACCTTCACGATGTATCACAAGTGTCAGTTTAACTCAGCCAGGCATGAATATGCCTTAATTAGCTCCTTAATTAAGTCCGTCAGCAGCAGAATAAAGAGGAGTAAATTTAATCACTTACATGTTCTTGTGATCCGATAATAATAATTTCTTCAGCGAGTCGGTCGGTAAATTGGAAAAGCGCGTCTCTTTCGCCTAATTCAAGCCCGCCCTTCTCATCTCATATCCATGGTACTAAATGTTCTGCCCATGTGGTTATTAAGCAGCGCTCTTTCAGTCTAGTTATCCCTCCTTCCCGCTCTCTTTTTTTTAATCTCCGTCTTTGCCGGTGACGATAAACCTGCCGGTGTAGTAGTAGACACATGGAGCTCAGACTTCAAAATGACACCGGGGAGGTAGTGAGGCAGAGAAGCACACAGAGAAAGAAAAGAGAGAGAAAGAGAGAGGGGGGGGGGGGGGGGGGGGGTCGAAACGAGTAGAGTTGTGGGAGGACGTTTAGAGTAAAATTAAGGGCAGGTCTTGGAAAGCAGCCACAAAGTAACACAATGTTCCGGCTGTACTGTAGCTGTACCGCTGCCGCTGCTGATGAGAACACTGTGTTCCAATAGACACCCTGACCTGTAACCCGTTCCGTGCCGAGACAGCCAGGCCGGGAACAGCCTGTTCCGCAGCAGGCTGTCCTCCCCGCTCAGCTGACGACACGTATCGTCAACAGTACTGTGTAACAGCCCGCCTGCAGACACAGACGAGGATGTGTAATCACCGAAGTAAAAGCACACCTCACTGCCCGATAAGACGCGCGGTGATACGGATTAGCGCACTGTTTCTGTAGACTTACAAAGAAAAGAGGGGGGTGGGGAGTAGCATATTTACTTATCGGAGACTTTTATGGCTTAAAGGGCAGTTTACTGTCACTTATTTCAGGGTAAGGACTTCTACAAAAGCGCATGCATGTTTTTTTTCTACTATTGTTTCTTTTATTAATTCCTGGTGGTATTTTTCCATGTTGGCATTTTTACTGGGCGGAGATAATTTGTCATCTTTTCCCAAACAGTCTGTGTTTACATTATTGTGGTGTTTACGGCTTTGCAACAAAGTATGAAGATCTTTTACTAGTTGGAAAAAAATACCACTCAATCAAGTTAGATATAAAAATCAAACTCCTCATGTTACATACTAATTCTCTATTCTCACTACGTGGTGTAAGCTATTGTTTTACCAACTTTGCAAGTAAAATCTTGGCGACAGCTGTTTTGCTGTCAAACCAGTAACAGTGAAAAGTCCTGCCAGTGTGTTAGGCGTCCATTTAAATGTATAAACACGGTTCAGGTGGTGCTGTGTGTGATTCTAGTATTATGGTATTCTAGTGATGCGCATCATATTCTATTAACTCTTGTTTTGCAAGTCAAATTTTGGGAACTATACGTTCCTATAAATTATTATTATTATTATTATTATTATTATTATTATTATTATTATTATAAATCATTATTAAAAGTAGAAGTACTCATTGTGAGGGAACATAATGGCAGCCCCTGCCAAAGTGCTGAATGACAAATCAATGTAATAAACCAAGAACAGATGGTGAATATGCCTAATCCTGTCTCATCCTATAAATCATTATTAATCATTAACCTCCCGATACAATAGTTTTCATATTTTGTAGTGAATCAGTCAGTATTTTACTCTGATGTGGATGCTCACTAGAGAACCAGTATGTTCAACCTGTCTAAGCCATTACTGTAGTCTAATAATTGCTACTGTATCCTAGTAAATTACAAAATGAAAATTACTTACTGTAAAGTACAGTTCTTCTTAAAGTCTTCAAAGTTTAATTAAAGTAAAAACCTAAAAAAAAAAATACTATTGTCTAAGTGTTACTATATGTAATGAGGCACTATAAACACATTATAATTTGGCAGTTGCTTTTTAACCTGGAAATCCACATGAAAAATAAAATAATAAATATTCAAAATTGTAAATTGTAATTTAGTTACTGAAGTCGTTTTGATTCATTATGCATTCCATATTAACAGGATTAGAAAAAAGTGTCACATCTAACACATATCTAAAGTGCTCACTGTGACGCAAAATGTTACATAACAACTTAAAGTAGCAACCTGCTTCAGGTGAGCATGAAATGCATTGCATTTTATGAAGGATGCTTTGCAAGTCAAATTTTGTCCGGGTCAAGAAAGACCGCAGTTATCAGGGAGAGGCAGTTTTCCCCTGAAATATACAAGAAGTCAAAATAGTAGTGAAGTACTAAACACACACCAAAAGAGATGAACGTGAGAGACACAACACAGAGTATTTTAATATAATATTTTTAAAATATCATCAGAATGATATATATAAAAACCCAGCAGGAGTTGATTTATGTTGTAATCAAACTTTTCACAGTGGTCATGTTCTTCTCCAAAGGGCATGTGTTTGAGTATATTTTGACCATGACTCCTAAACAGCCTGTAAGGAGGCTGAAAGCTCTCGTCATGTGGAAACCCCAGATGCACACTCTGCATGCTGATGAAATCTTGTGTTCAAACAGCCTTTATCTCATTTCTAGGCTTTTTATATTGCTTTTTATATTATACATGATTAAAGCAAGTGTTTGCTTATTATCACATTCATGGTTAATATGTTTTCTCTTTCACATCTCTAGGATGAACTTATTTTTTACTGACACATTTACTTTGGGGATAAGAGAACCTAAAATCCATGGTAATAAAAGTTTTTTATGGCCTTGTTTTGTGCTTTTGCGGTTGAGGATGTTGGCATTGACATGCTTTATGGCTGCTTCTTGTGTCTATGTTTATCACATTTATTGCATTAAAAATTATAAAATATGCCTCGAATTAATGTTATGAGTGAATCATTAACGAGAACTTAACCAAAATTTGTTCATGTCAGACAGCGAGAGGAAAACTTTCCTTTATAGAACCGAGATGCTCAAAGAGCCTCGTCTCTCTAGATGATGAATCCCACCATTATACGTGGTAAGGATACTGTCTGACCACACTGCTGGCAGACAGCAAGCTGCTATTGAGAGGGAACATGATGATCCTGTTAATTATATAGGTGACATAACACAAGTGAACCTGACTCTGCAAACGCAACAGGGATATTGTCAGCTGGGGTGAGTAATCTTCTGAGCATCTGGTTATCGGAAGAAAGTAGCTTTCACACACATGTGTTTTAGAACATGTTATTCACATTTAAAGAAAAAAAACAGCACAGAAACAGAAAGATGTAAAAACACAACCTCACTATGTGTCACTGCCCACATGAAACCCTTAAAATAATAGTACTGATTATCTAAAATAAAACACCATGTCAGGACGGTCAACTCCTGCACGGGCAAAGGTTGGTTTGTTTGTTTTACCAAAATTCGTGAACTGTGGCGTCCTGGTTGCTTTGTCTGTCTTCTTTTCCCCTACACTGCAATGCTTAACTGGAGGTCAAAATGAACTAAACAGGCTTGGGCTGAACTGAGATGCATGAATAGATATGTATAGTGACACATGGCTTGAGATGTTGTTTTCCTTCCTGAAACATCAAGAACATCTTGTTTCTGTTCTGGTGAAAGCACCCAGGCAGGCGAGAAAAAAAAAGAAGAAGAAGACAAATGAAAATTAGATGGTCAAAGGTTACATCAATGGTCTGTGGCTGTTTTATACATGCAGTTGTAACTTATTTTTAGAACTTTGTGGCCTTCTTACTGCTACTTACCTATCACTTTGCATCGGAAAGTCATTTAATCTTTGCTAAAACCAAACAGTAAACAGCAAATCTGATAGGTGTCTAACAGATTTTGCTAAATACTGTGTAAAGTACAAAAATCTGACTGGCAGTTGCAAGAATCCATCTGTCTGAATGAGTATCTTGGTGTAACCAGAAGCACGCGGGTGAGTTCATTCAGGGATACGGGCTGCACAGTCATCAGGAAGTGAAACAGAACAGAATGTGCTGTACTAATCTGATTGAAAAACACTGTGCTGAGTGGATGCTTGAAAAAAGAGATGATTCATTTAAATAGCTACAAGGAGAACCCTATGGTAGCAGGGGAATACATACACGGAAAAACAAAGGCAGCTTAATGCTTCATTTGGTAAAGCAAAAGGCAAATGGGAGGGTGAGGTTAAAGAAGCACTTGCTCTCACACAAACATGCGCTCTGCAGCTACAGGCTGAGCAACATAATGCTCTTTGTTTGTGTTCTAGGCATCCGTGATACGTACAGGGGAGTAATCTCCCGAGTGATCCCTTTTATCCCTGAACTTTTGTCCCCCCCACCAAAAGCAAGAGTTCTTTACTGTTGTGTCTGCCAAGGGCCCTGAATAAACGACTGAGAAATGGGGCAGTGAATAACAGCAGTCCTATTTTCATCATGTCAACACAAACCTTAAAAGGTTGTGTTTTATTGTCAGCATAGTTCAGTTTTGGTGTGTTTTATGTTATGTCTGACATTTATCACTTTGTATAACTGATGAGGAAAGATTTTAACTTCTTTTTGTTCTTGAGTTAAAAGAAAAACAGGAGCTTAATGGTTTGTTTTGAGTCTCGGAGAGAATGAAACTTTTTTGAAATCATTTCAAATCAGCTGAAGACTTTTTTAAATCAGGGCTTTCACACAGTATTTGTTCTAAGTAAACTGCCACAGGAAAATATATCAGATTTAAATCCCAAAAACAGAATTCAACTGTAAAGGAGATTTTATTTTATTTTATTTCATTTCTTTATATATTAAAAATCCCAAATAGGTTTCTGCATTTCATTGAGTTTATATCAATGAACAAAGTGATAGAAACACCTGTCAGTGTAATAAAACCAGCTGCGACATTCAAATGAATCATAACACAGAGTCAAAACTTCCCTTATTTGCTTTATGAAAGGATGTTTCATCGTAGGACTGTGAGGACAGAGTGTACTTTTAAGCTATACATACCTAATAAAATGGCTGCTGAGTATATCTGTTTATGCACAGGGCATCCAATGATCCAATGAAAACGCTCTGTGGTCTTTTCTGCATTTTCTCACGTTCATTGAACATTTATGATCAGATTGTTGTCACTGACACAATGTCATCATAATTTGGAGTCCCACAAACCCCTCTGCTGTACATGAAGTTATTGTAAACCATTTGCCATCCACTAAATAGTTTCCCTCCTGACCTCCTTAGAGCCCAGTTCAGTAAAAAAAAAAGTTTAAAGTAGTGATACCCCCGCTCTACAAACCTGTGGTAATAAGGGTTATTATTCTTAATTATTACATAGGGTGTCGATTACTAAGAAGTTTAGTACACAGCAATTTAACCTGTCACGTCAGGCAATCATTAACCAAAAGCATGAGGTTGAAATGACTAATTGCTCAAAAACTAATTTGAATCCGATTGGCTTTAACCAGACATGTTAGACGGTTAAATCACAACACCGTTATCACAAACTGTGTCAGAATGGGATACAAATCAGGGTGTTTCGCAACAAGTTTAAATGAAACATTAATGTCTCCAATATGTGTCTAATTAAAGATTACACATATGGTTACACATAACGTTGGAGAACAAGCAAAACAGAGTTCCCTATTCATCCATCCATCGTGCAATAAATAAAGACTGAGCTGCTAATTTTTCTCTGACTGTGCCCCTTTGTGACCTGAGGTAAGCCTCATGGTCAGAGATGCATGAAGACTTCTGTTACACAATTCTTCCCCCTTTTCCACACTTCGTCTTGAATGCGCCTCTATACGGGAAGTGTACATACATTATCTACCCACCCACCTGCGCGCTTCTAAGAGGTCACATGTGTTGAGCAATAGCCCTGTCTGTTGATTTACTTGTGTTCCTATGTAACTACTAAATGGCAGGCAGCTGTTTTTGCACTGCTTTATCTTCTTAAGGTCAAACTGAGCAAACTGTGCGATTCTTGTCACAGAACATAGAAAACATCGTATCTGTACTATGGCTACATTTTATGCGCCACAGCAAAAACATTTGCAGTGAATTTTTATCTAGACAGTGGGCTTCATGCTTGAGTCTGTGCATTTTCTTATCATAATAGTGATTACTGCAGCCAAACGTTAAGACGGTAATCAAATTTCTCTTTAAAAATCTGAGGACAGTCAAAAGGTTAGGGTCATAGTTAAGGCCGAGGGTTTGTTAGATGCTTGAAAAAGGGGGGTAAATAAAGGAAGAAACAAGAATTGCTACACATATTTGAATTACTTCAAGCAAGTGTTACATCACTAAAGCATCAAGAGTTTGAAGGAAACAGTGTAAAATCCTTTTTTGTTGTAGAGCTACAACACAACTCACAAACACTAAATTAGAGTGGTGTAGAAGTGTAATGCAGCATAAAATGGAAACACTTCAGTAAAATACAAGCATTATAATATTTTTTTCTTGAGTAAATGCACTAATATGTGTTTAATGTATATGTACTCTATGTATGTATAAAAATGGCCTGTGTTCATTTATAGATATCACTGCAATTCCTCTGATAGCATTTGTGCTTTTATTTAAACATTTTTGACTAATTATTTTCAGTTTCAGTTATTTCCATTGAACACCTCTAACGTTTTTTTTCCTTTTTTCCATGAGGTGATGGGGTTTAAAATGTCACAATAATAAGAACATCTTGACATTTTATTTTTTCAAAGGTTAGCTTGACATGGCGGAAGAAAGGACGATATTTTTTCAGGCAGAAGAGCCTTACGTGTTTACACAGGGGAAATCTAGTATTGCAGTAAATATCTGAAAAAGATTACCGGCTACAGGACACAGGAACAAGAACAGATGTTAAAAAAATCTTCAGCCTTGTAGCACAGATAAGGTCTGAAAAGAAAAGCACCAGTAAGAAGACAGAAGCAAGAGTATGACATCTGGCCAGTCTCCACAGTTATAACACTTTTTTTCTTAGATCATTTAAAAAAAAAAAAGTGTTATTGCGGTATATAGAGTACATGGTGTACATAGTTTAAATGTAAAGTTAGGCTATAGTTTTACTAGTTCAACTTGTATCCCCTTTTTTTACATGGTTGTACATTTTACTTGACCTCTATGAATAAATGAAACAATGCCCTTTACAAATAAGCTTGCTTTGAGTTTGTTTTTAACAGTGTAGATATAAATTAAAGTGGCTCGGGGCAGGGATAGGTTTACCTATAGCCAAAGTAGACTAAAAGGGATTATGAAGTTTAACTCAATGTAATAGCAGCTTTTAGAACTGAAGAAGGTTCTTGGATGAGAAGTGAAACGTCTTCACAAAACTTAAAGTCCAGTCGCTCCTTAGACTAATAGCAGCTTGGTTCACTTTATTATACCTTGATTATCCTATGAAGTAACACATATAACAGTAATATTTAAATATAATGATGTGATGATGGAAGTAAAGGCGCTTTTTAAAAAATTCAGTCATGTAAAATGTTCTAAACTTTCTCTGGTTACATTTTTCTGTTATAAAAGTTGGGTGAAGATCTCACATGTTTGCTAGTTTAATGTGTTGTGGCAGACATTCCACTTTGGTACAGTAGGTGGCAGTATAGACATTTATCGGTGTTTTAATGGCGTTTTAGACACGCAGAAGAAGAGTGGGCTTTTTCTTTTTTCCCCCTTGCTCTTCCGCTTTACTCGAGGCGCTAATAACCTAACAGGCTAGGCCTGCTGCTCAAACGAGCGGCGTGAAATCTTCTGCAAGCGGTTTTTTGTTGAGTTTTAGCTGTAAAAAGGTGAGTTATATTCCATACAGGAAGGTAGGTTCGGTCTTCCACACGTTTTTCGTGTGAATTCAGCTAGGATGCCGATTCGCATCGCGACGAATTCTTTTGTAAATCGTTTCGCGGTAATAAATGCTAAATTTGCTAGCGTAACGTTAATCCTCGCATGGTTGGTTTTGGAGGGTGGTGGAAAACTTTGCTGCATTATCGTTCGGATGAAAAGTTGGAGTCAAAAGTAATTTGTAATATTCAGAGGAAATGTCTTTTTAGAGTAACTAAAATCCAATTTTAATGTTACCCGTCAACAATCAAGCTAAAGCGAACTATTTTTGGTGCTGTTAGCCTGGAAATGTATAGCCAGTGTTAAGGCTCAGGAGTCTGCTAATAGAAGCCACCCCATTTTCTAGCTTATTGTTGTATTATATACCTCTGACCAATTAACCAACATAGTTTTATTCACCATTCATCCGAAAAGCACCAAAGAAGCACTAAAGAGACCGCCCCACCCCCAAAAAGAAACGCGTTGGCTTTGGATTTTTTTTTATAAGTGTGCGGTTGCTAAATATTTAAAAATCCTGTGTAGGTACTGCAGTTATAAGCAACCCAGTCATGTATAAACCTGAATGAGACTCTTTGTTAGAAAAGGCTTTGCAGTGCTGCAAAGTGAATGCAAATATAACAATTCACTGATACCAGCTTTAAATGGGGCCATAGATTAACTGTTCTCAGAGCTGTTTGACTGTAACTGTTTCTTGTAATTTTGTTTTGTTTTTTTCTTTTCAGGGATAACAGAGTCTTGGACTTAAACAAGAATAAATTTGAAATGGGAGGTATGACAACTCAGACAGTTAGTCGTGTAGCTTTTCTTGCTTTGTTTTGCAGTAGGGAGGTGCCCTGGTGTCCCATGAAACAACACAGAACATGCTAAGTGACTTTAAAAGAATTACAGTATTTGTGAACTTAAGGGGTGTGTCCAAAGACCAAAGTATTTTTTTTCCTGAGGCCAGCGTAGTTCCTAAGAGCAATGTTCTTGGAATTGCTTGGAATAGGAGTGGCATGTATTGATGGTATTGTTAAAACGCCAGCAGCAATGGGGCACTGAGCATCTCTCCCAAGCTTTGTGATTGGGTTGTTTTACTGGTTGCCGGGCCTTAAGATCTTGAACTTTTGATAGAAAGCAGCTGTGCTTGTCGCTTTTTACCCCATCAAGCAGAACTGGGACAAATGCCATGCAGACAGGCTTTCCCATTGCACACATGCTGACAACCATCTGAGCAACAATGGATGAGAAGTGAATGTTGCTTCTCTGAGTATCCATGTCTACCACAATATTGATGTTAAATATAAAGGTCTAGAAGAACAGTTCGTTCACCAGGTCAGTAGCAGTCAGGTACAGTAGATGTTATGTATCATAGCAACCAAATTGTCTGTGCTGAAAATGTGCGGTGACTTCTAAGTGCTCTCAAGTATTCTCAGCTGGACATTTTCAGAGGATGGCCTAGCATTATCGTCAGACAAAAAGTACTTTGCTGGACACAGCCCCTAATTCAAACACTGCAAAGCTAACAGATGGTGACTCCAATGAATGAGTTTGTCAATAAAAAATTATATTCTCTAAATATGTGCACATTACACAAGAAGTTAAAGAAGACAAAACCATTTACTGAATTACCACAACCACTGTTTGTTCTGTGTCATGGTGGACTCATGCTGTCTTGTCAAATTTTTTTTCATACTCTAGTTACATGTGGCTCCATCACTATCATGATAGTAGTACTCAAAGCACTTTAAGCTCTTTCTGTGGACAGTCTAAGATGCAGGGTGGTAGACTGAGCTTTCACCCCAGCTTTTTTTATTTATTTATTTTTTTGCTTGATTGTTTTTTCAAGAAAAAGAAGTTGAAAATTGGTGAAATAAAATTAAACAAGGAATGGCATTAGTTGACTTTATTTTACATGGTTGGCTGCAGAAATAAGTCTTTTAAAGTAAGGCTATGTACAGTAGATCAGAAAACTTTGAGGCTGGAAGGGCTTTGGATTAGTCAACATAGAAAAATAAAATATTTTAATGCAGGTTAACATAATTTACATTTAATTTGCACATTTTGATGAATGATACGTAATTTGTTCTACTTCATCGTTTGATGGGTGTTTGTGTTTCTGTCACTTTTAAGACCCTGCTTTTCATCGAGACTGTCCCCTCGACTGCAAGGTTTATGTCGGGAATCTGGGAAACAATGGAAATAAGACGGAGTTAGAAAGAGCGTTTGGTTACTATGGTCCTCTAAGAAGTGTTTGGGTTGCCAGGAATCCCCCAGGTTTTGCTTTTGTAGAGTTTGAAGATCCCAGAGATGCCTCAGATGCTGTGAGAGAATTGGATGGCAGGTAACTCCTTCAACATGCTACACTTATTAGTAGTTGTGTTTGATTTTTGCATTGCTTTCTGCTCATTTGTTGACTTCTGTTCAGAACCATGTGTGGCTGTCGAGTACGCGTTGAGTTATCCACTGGAGAAAAGCGCTCCAGGAGCCGTGGCCCTCCTCCATCCTGGAGCCGATACCCTCGAGATGATTTTAGGCGACGCAGTCCTCCTGTTAGACGCAGGTATGCATTTCCTACTTGACAGTTATTTTACTGTTTTATTTATCTGTAGACATTTTTTTCAAACAAAATTCTCACTTGCAGTGTTCAATAAGAGTACAAATGACAAAGCACACGTTCATTAAATACACACTTATTTTTCAGCTTCTGATTTTGGCAAAACAGTTTTAGATCGACTAAATGGCCAAATATATTAGCAAAAATCTAGTTTCTTACCATCTATTTTTAGTTTTGTCATAGTCTAAACTGAAACTAAGCAAGGAATCAAGTTTCTGACAGCTTGAAACAAATTGTTTGCACACTTGCATTCAAGCGTTCTTGCCTTTTTTATTTCTTTAAAAATTAAAATAAAAATCTGTGGCTGTATTCACAAAGTGTCATACTTTCTTTTTAAAGCAAACTAAAAGTGCCAGACTAAAGCAAAGAGGGGGGAAAAAACATTTACATAGTAGGCACTCATTTCATTACAGTTTTCGCTCATAAACTGGAGATCTCAACTATTCTTTGGACATGTGATTGTGCTGTTGTGAGTACAGTCGGGTAATGCCCGGTGAATTCGCATTCAACAAGTCCTGTCCTGCCAGCTTTCTCACCAAAATTAAGTACATTATTTTCAGGCTCTATAAGACAGAGCTCTGGAGTTTCTAACCCGTCTCCCCCAACCCAGCAAGTGATTAGTGTTTTGTTTAGTTTTTCATTTTTCGTTTTCATGTTTCTACTAATTGGCCACTTGAGAGCTACATTCAAGCTTTTCGATATTTTGTGAATACGGCCCCTGATCCCACAAAGATTGAAGTAATAATTTTGATACAAATTTTTTTTTAATTGTTTTCAAGGGTATATTAGTGGCAGGTTATGTAAACGGTTAAATCTTTTATTAAAATATAACTGTTGAAACAACAAGCTCTGCCAGAGTGATATTATTTTACAAAGACATCTTCAGAAGCATAGTTAGCCCTTCATCTCCCATCAAATATTTTTACACTTACATTCTGCAGGTGTAAATTTTATTTATATTTTTTTTCTGAGTTCAGTTGCCATCTATTAATAAAACTGAACCCCGTTTCAGAGTCACCACCACGCTTCTCACCATCTGAGTCAATCAACTAGTCTTCTTTCAGCATCATGTGACTGCTGACCAGTGAGCCCAAATCAGCTTGGCTGGTGTTGTCACATGACCCAGGCGCACCGCCAGTCGTCAGGTTCCACCAAGCTTTTGGTTCCTGAGCATGCAGTTCCCAGCATCCTCCTCCTTCCTCCAACCTTTACCCAATCGACAGCGGTCCACTTCACATTATCAGCCAATCAGCGTCTTTACTCTTTCTATTCTCCAAACATCTACTGTATCAGCGGGGACAGCCCTTGGCTTACATCCCTTCCCATCCCCCACCCCCCCAAAAAAGGCAGGGAAAATCTACAACTACCCCCCTCGAACCAGCCACCAGGCAACTTCATATCTCCAACATTTGCATCTTGTGGCAAATCTTCTCTGCAATTCGACCTCCCTCACCATCAGTCTGGCTTCCTTGCGTCATTTCTATCTTGTCCAATTCCCCCAAAAATAGTAAGTTTCTTTTATCCTGCTCTTTGTAGTTTTAATGCTTAATCTAGCTTTCATAGCTGCTTGACAGTTTTCTTCAGCAGTTATGTAATTTGGAGAAAATTCAGTGCAGTGCTGCAAAAACCGGTCAAGGAATTTTGACCACCATTCTTTAATTTCCATTTCAAAAATGAACTACATTTATCTGGTGTTCATTGTAATTGTTCTACTGAGTGCATTTTCAGGGCTCGACATTAAGCTATCTTGAGTGATAACCACAGGAAGTAAACTTTTTTCTTTGCAGTTTTAATTTGGTTTTTTTTGTGTTTTGTTTCTTTGTTTCTTTGTTTTTTCGGTTTAAAGACCCTTTTACTTGTAGGTTACCCTATTTTTCGTTGCTTTAGGATGTGTCCCACATCAAAGTTTCTTTTAACAAAAAACAAAAATAATCAGTCTTTCCTGTGTTGCTGCTAAAGGAGGTATTTTACTTTTTGGGGAACATTGTGCACAAGGAGGATCACAGTAGATGGGTGATTGAAGAATGTTTTTATGCTTGGTTTAAAAAAAAAAAAAGAAGGAAAAAAGCTGTCACATAATTTGTTTGGTCTTTCTCTCAGACAAGCCTTAATGCCGAGCCTTGATTTTGTTTTACATTCTGATATCTTGCTCCATGATTTGTGTTCATTGGACAAAGTTTCCTTATAAACATTTGACCAGTTCATGGATACAGATGATCATTCTGTTAACAGTCCAGGAAGTACGTGTAACCACGTTTCCACATGTAACCCATGTTTCTGTAGGGATCAAGAAAAACTAATTTCAAAGGTTGTATTAGAGATGGGAAATGTTAAATATGCTCTCTTAATATTTCTAAAAAAATGTTTTCTTCTTAATTTTCTTTTTAACTCCTCCCCCCTCCCCTACATTGTAGATCGCCAAGGAGACGGAGCCTCAGCCGCAGCCGCAGCAGGTAGCCATGTCACCATTTGTCTTTTGTTTTTTGTTTGTTTTTGTTTTTTGGGGTTGTTGTTTTTTGTTTTTTTTTTGCACCACACATTTGTCTATGGCAAATGATAAAAATCGTTAAAAACATTTTTTTCAGGTCTGTTTCAAGAGATAGACGCAGATATCGGTCTGCTTCCAGAGAGAAGAACCGTAAGCGCTCAAGATCCTTCTCACGATCGAGGAGGTAAATCAAAATAATTTTTATATTTATTGTTCTTGAACTTCAAACTTAATATTAAGCTAACAATTTTTTTCCCCATCAATTTTGCATTTATTCACTGGTTGGTTTGTTTTACAGTCGTTCCCGGTCTAATGAGAGGAAATGAAGATCTTGGAAAGCTCATCTACCGGCTTATGCTATGGTTACAAAAAAGTACATTTTTATAGTCTTTTCTTTTTAGATTTTGTTGGGTAGCTCATGGCAATTTAAGGTTGGCCATGTTTGGGTCTTAATGGTCTGTTGAATGATCAAGAAAGGTGTAAACTGTTTGGGTTTTTTTTTTTTTTTTTTTTTTTTTTTTGTTAAATTCTGTCTTGCCCTGCATGCTTTGAAAATGAGTACTTGGTTTTACTTTTCTTTTTAAAACTGTTTAAAGTCATCATTTCATTTTCTTTCCTTTTTTTGGTTTGGTTATTTATTTTACTATTCTTGCTCGGGTTACTGTGACATGGTATAGAGGGAGTGGTGTGTGGTTGGTTTTTTTTTTTGGTTTTTTTTGGTTTTTTTTTCTTCTCATACCAGTAACAGAAAAGAAGACTCTTAACAAATGCTGTAAATATGGTGCTGTTATTGTAGTCTATCCCTAAAACATGATCATCTGTAATTAATTTTTTTAAATGCCTTCCTTTGCGAAAGAAAGCATTGACTAGATTCTTTTTTTTTTTTCCTTTTTTTTTCTTTTTTTTTTTTTGAATGTCTGAGCTCCAACAACATGTACTGATACAGTTTAACATCTTGTTCAATAAATGTTTTTCCAAGGTGAGTTTTCTGTAACATTTGCTTTGTTTTCATAGTTGCATATACTAGAACTAAAAAGGCAAATGCTGAAAATGAACCTGTTTTAAATTCAGGAAGTACTATAGTTTGCTGCAAATGTAGCCCACACAGGAAGCTTGACACAGTTGCCATTGAAACACACCCCCCATGTGTGAAATGTAACTCCTATTGAACAGAGGCATGACTTGACATAACACAGCAGCTCATGCTGTGACACGAGGAGTTGCCAGATTTCGGTGGTAAGTACACGTGGTGTTATAAGTTTTGTTTTTTTGTAGAAGACATTTAGCTAAATTTACGCAACTCATCAATCTTATGTTTAGGTAAATGAAATAGTTGCAGTTTAGTTAACGGCAGCGTTTTCACTTGCTTGCCTAATATTTGGTGTTAACACATTTGGTGCACATGTTAATGTATATTGGTGTCTCGCATTGTTTTGAATATTTTTTTTATTTTTTTTATATTCAGTCAACTACGTTTAGTGTTCTGTTCTAAATTTGTATGCTGTAGATTGCAACTGGATTTGCAAATACATTACATGACTGAATATTTCATGTTTAGGAGAAAGGATTTCAAGTCATGTCTTCGCAAAATGCAAAGAAAAAGCGACTCGGGTCACGACGAGTGGCACAAAGCCAAAATGAAGTACCTAAGGCTGATGAGTACCACTTAACAGAAGCTTCTTCTGTGGCACAAGGCTACGCAGCAGACGAAAGTACTGAATCTTTAAATGTTTTATCCAGCCGAGAGGATTCTAAACCAGAAACTCGACATCCACCTTCAGCAGAGGTCACATTTAACCGGAGAAAAATTGGGTCTAATCGGCGCAGTAAAGGAAAGCAGTTGGTAAATGATTTAGAAACTGAACCTTACTGCAACCCTGGAAAGGAACTTGAGGAAAAAAGCAGGGGTAATGAAACCTTTGAAACAATACAAACGCCACGGGCAGTGGAACTTAAGCAGCAGGAAGAATTCGGTCAAGGAAGTGATCATGTGTCTGCACTAGCTAAGGACTGTTCAGAAAGTACACATGATAAAAATTCTGAGGGTGAAATGGAAATGTTAACTCCTGAAATCAATAATCTACAAGAGTGCAACCCTTGTAGAAATGAAATCAAGCTTGAAGAGATTGACAAATCTGACATGCAAAGTGAAGAAATCAAAGAAAACATGCATCCTGTGGCTCAACAGTCATCCAGTGAAGTGCCAGATGAGGAGCCTTCAACTGCGTATTTTGTAGCAGAAATACAAAGTACAGAAAGCGATGACAAGAAGATGCTCAGGCAGGATGGAAGGTTACAGGGTAACAACTTGGTAAATGAGTCACATGTAGAATTTGAAGCTTTAGAGGCAGTCACACCAAACATAACCACAGATAAAAACAGCCCGGAACAAAATATTGAAGTCGTGTGCAGTGCTGAGCAGGAAACATTTTCATCATCAAAAGAGAAGTTGACTGCAAATGAGGATCCTTGTAGCTTATCTGAAGTTAGAGAAGCATGGCAATCAGAAAGTGCTATGAATAAAATACATGAAGTGAACATTAAGCCCATAGAAATACAGGACATGTACCAAAATCAGTATTCCTTTAAAATTCAGGGTATTGATGTCACGGAAAATGCTGTTACTTACTCTGAAAAACCAGAAGACCAAACTGAGATGGATACTCACTCATCTGACATGAAAGTAAAAAACAATGTATTTCACACAGAGCAGGAACATCTTAATGAAAAACAATATGCATATCCTACAAATAACAGACATCCGGAGAGCTTACAGGACGAAAATGAGGATATTCAGATGTATGATTCCAAGCAACAAGTGATCACTGACATAGCAGTTAGTCGGTTGGTAGCCACTGAAATCAGCAATGCTAACAAGTCTGTTGATGATTCTGTGTCAAATAATTACAAACAAAGTGAGCATCAAAGAAAAGAAGGACATTTAGAAACTCTAAATGAGGAGAATGAGGACAGTGATGTTGATATGAGAAATGGTTCAGTACAAACTATACCATCTGAAGTAAATACTCTTTTGGAATCCCAACTTGAAAGCAATAATGTGACTTCAAGTGAGCAAACCCATACTGTCTATGACTCCATTGGGAAAAGAAGAAAAATGGGATCCACTCGAAGGAGTAAAGGAAGACAGTTGACAATTGGTGATGAAACCCCTGAAACAACAGAAATGTCAGCAACAGAGGCTACAAAACCTGAAGAATTACTGCAAAGAAACGAGCATGATGTTTCTCTGTCTGTGCCACATGACAGCTCCATTTTTACAGTGTCTACACCTGCTTATTTTCCTGAGGTCCAGAAACCAACAGCAACAAGCCATCCTGAGATTAGCTTGAACAGTTTAATTCCTCAAAATGAAAACCTTCACGAAAATCAAGGTGAGCAAGATTTTAAAGTGGTTTCAGATAAACCATTGGAATCTGGGATGGAAGAAGTGGATGAATCTGAAACTGCTCTGCGTGAAGAGATCAAAGATGCCAATCACTCAGATGAAACTGTCAGGAAAATGCATGAAGATGAGGTTGAAAGAACAGAAATTCAAGAAGTGCTGCAGAATAATTTCTCATCTGAAAATGTGATTGATGATGCCACAGAAAACTCTT